AATATGACTACTAACCTCTTGTTCCCTTACAGATATGATCTTTAAATAAACATTTACAGCTTTTATTCTCAGTGAGTTATAATACAATTATAGGTAGGAAGAATTGGAAAGAATGTGTAAAACTAAATATTGTTTTAAGATATTTGTGTTATGCTCAGCAGTTTTCATCCCATCAGATTTATGTAGAAACCTCATTTCACCTCTGAAAACCAGTGGCCTTACTTACATTTTGGTTCAGTTCAATCTAGAATGTAACATTTCTGTAACGTTTGAAGCAACAACAACAACAAAAAGGGCAGGGGGCGGGTAACCTTTCCTTGTTTTCCCCCATTAAAAAAAACAAAATAGGAGAGAAATTGAAGTAAGAACAGCAGGTTTTTTTCTTCCCATCTTTAAATATATGAAGTTATTTTGTTCCTTTATCAAATGCATTGTGTATAAGTTGGTCTGCTCATACAGGTATGTATGGTGTATGCAACTGAAACATGCAGTTATTCAAACAAGTTCCATACATTTATTGAGTTGATTTATGTGAAACCTTTTTCATTTTTGTTGCAAATTGAGCTGTAGGCTGTTGGAGTCACAGCTTTTCATTTGTGCCTATTTAAGAAGAAAAAGGCAGAGAAATAGTTAACAATAAAAATCATCAACATTATGCATGTATCTATATGTGTATATGTATGTGGGGGGGTATCTATATATCTAGAGATGTAGATATGACATATAAAAAGTCTGGAGTTTGTCCTTTATTGTATCATAATGCAGGTAGGCTTGCTTTGGAGATTGTGAACTGCCATTGGCTGTGTTTCTTTTCTCTTGTTCCTGAGCGCATGCAAAGCAGAGACTGAGAATGTTCACTTTCAGTACTGGCTTAATCAGGGCTACCATAATTGTAACTCTTGAACGGATAAAAACACTTTTAAAATGAATGCAATTCCTAGGATACTTTCTATTTGGCATGAATCCCCCCCGCCCCCCGCTTTCTTCATTCCAAAATTCCATGGTTCTGTAAATTTCAGTGGAGTCCTTTAATCCCAAAAGCATGGTTTTAAAATTGGAGGAAGAAACATCAATAACCTGTGTGATGCTAATAACACTACCCTTTTAGCCAAAAATGCAAAGGGTCTGCAAGCCCTAGTAATAAAAGTCAAGGAGCACAATGAAAAAAAATGGGACTAAAATTAAATATAAAGACCAAACTAATGACAACAGGTAGAACAATCAGCCTTAGAATTGACAATGAAAGTATTGAAGTGGTGGAGAGCTTCTATCTTTTAGTATCAACCATCAACAGTAAAGGAACAAGCTTTCAAGAAATACACTATAGACAAGCACTTGGTACAGCAGCCATGAAGGCCTTGGAAAAGATATTCAAATGGTTTGATGTGTCTATACCTACAAAGATCAGAATAGTTCAAGCCATTTCCTGTGAGCCTCAAGATATTCAAATGCTGTGATGTGTCTACAGTATATCTACAAAGATCAGAATCATATAAGCCTGTGCAGAAGTGAAAGTTGGACTTTGAAAAAGCAGAACAGGAAGAGTACTGACACTTTTGAACTTTGGTGTTAGAGAAGACTCCCAAGAATACCATGGACAGCTAAGAAAACAAACAAATGAATCATTGAACAAATCAACCCAGAGTTCTCACTCGAGGCACAAATGACCTGGGTCAAATTATCAACTTTGGACGCATTATGTAAAGACCTAGCTCTCTGGAAAAGGCTCTAATGCTGGGAAAGGTAGAAGGAAAGAGAAGAAAAGGATGACCAGCAGCAAGGTGGATAGTTAAAGTTTTTTATATCAATCATGGAGCCCTAGGCAAAAGTGTCATGGGGTGCTTCATCAGCAATTTACCTGTTCTTTTATTATAAGAATTCTCAACTCATGAATTCAGAAATGAAAGCTAACTTCTACCATAAATATTAATTTCTGTTCTTCAGTATATTTCTTCATGATGAAGACTTCTTGCTGGATCCATATATCTCTGATATCATAAGAGAACATTATGGCTATAAACATTATGGCTGAAACGTTTTGATCCTTTTCAAATGAAAAATCCTCAATAAGATCAATCTAATCTAATTCTTTTCCAACTGTATTTTCAATTGAGATCATTACTTATTCAAGTAGGTGTTCAGCACAGATCACTTTTATTTTTCAGTTTTGAAAATGACCTCCATCAGACACAATTGTTACTGGTACAGAAGAACGCAAACTACTACACACAATTGGACATATATATACTGTAATTTGAAGATATGCTGAAGCTGTGTATACTTTAAAGAAACACAATTACAGTCATCAGTCTGGCAGGATCAATTCTTCCTTATGATAAGAAGATACAATTTTGCATCACTTTTCAATACTTTCACTACTCATTTTTGTTAATGAATTAATATGAAATATGATTCCATATTTGTCCCTAAACTCCTTTAATTGCACAATTGTTTCATCCACTGTAACATTAAAGGACTCATTTGTCTTTTGGATCATCTGCTGATTCATCCAAACAAAGCTTGCATCTTTTTCTCATACTTTGCTTTGTAACATTTGCCTGAACAGGGTCTTCAAATGTCTCAGCAATGCCCTCAGCAGTCTTTGCTGCTTTTAAAAAACCCTTGATTTCTATACTCATTCATACATTTCAGTAGTTCCACTGCAACGTCTAATTGCTTATCTGTACTTTGCATGATTGCCTACTTTATTTGTGACAGGATGTCATATCATATACTAAGCAAGACTATGAAAGACCATAAGACTTCCACCACTCATTTTTGTTAATGGATTAATATCAAATATGGCACAAGTTTAGCTTTGGCACAAGTTACACTGTCAAAGTTGGGGATATTCAACATTGAGTAATTGTTCAGTAACAAATCAGAAGCTTCAAAACATATGACTTTTCCATTGAGTTTCCAGTGCCATTTCCATTATGTATTCCACAGATAAAACCAGTGCATCCCCTCTTTTAATTGAAGATGCAAAGAGATGAAAAACTACATTTCCAAAACAAGTTACATCTATTCTGCAAGATTTATTTATTGATTTACATATTTCAAATTTGTCACCACCCATCTCACTACAGAGCGACAGGTTTGATATCCACAGCTTTGGGGTTTATATCTAAAAGCCGTTTGTGCGCATCAGCATGCTCTCCTTTCCTATTGGAACCACTATCATATCCTTGACCTTTACAGTTCACTGAAGATCAATTCAGAATTTCTGGTTTTTTAAAAAGAGCTTCTGTTAATTCAGCATCACTAGAGACTTTGACCTTTATGTATTCTGCAAAGCTTCACTTTCTTCTACCCTGAATATTCTAAAAATAAATGACATCTGTTATTGGTGACATCAGACTGGGATGCTGTCAAATATTAAAATGTTTTAACTATGCTTCAGTATACTGTATATCTTGAGATCAATTCAATACATTCACTCAGATTTTTTTTTCTTAGATAGCTATCATGAATGTATTTATGTCTGATGTCTGATGTATTATGCTGTAAATTGGTCATATTTAGTCATCAGCTCAACTTATCCCAGAAAGTTACCACTTGAGACATATCCAAGTTTCAAGGCTTGCAGTCCCCTATAGGGCTAAATTTGCTCAGCTAAGACCTTGAATGATGGGTTGCAAATGCTTAAGTGTTTTTCTCCAATACTCAGTTCCTTGTTGCAGTTGAAATTGCTCTAATGTATCAACAATTGTTTTTGCATTGAATTATTTTTATTTTTGCCCACCACAATCAAGAGACTCTGCCTTTTCACTCTTACCACTGCTTCATGCAATGTCTATGACCATCCAATGATTCATAGGTTTTAAGACGGTCCACTAAATGCCTCCACTGATGACTCTGTTTTATTTATAGCAGAAACAGTAAACAGAATCATTCACATCAAATATACAAACCAATGGTGTTCAACTCTCTCCCTATTATTGAGAATTTTGAAGAAGCTCCTTGAGGTAAACCTCCTGCCATTTGGTTATGGATGACTTTTCTTTATCTTCCTCATGAACTTTTTTCCCCCCTCTCTCTCTCTAAGTGGACTAACTTTAGCA